CTTGTAGGAAAAAAAACCCCCCCCCCCCCCCCCCCAACATACAGACACTTAGAACAGCTGTGAGAAGTAATCCATAGAGTATTCATAGGCATATTACATAGGTCAGAAAACACAGAAATTATGGCAAAAAACTTGTGATCTACATGTAGACTGCAGTGGAGAAATAAGATGGAAGGAAAATGTGATGAGGAAGGATAAAGTTAAAATGATAATGTGTATATGAAATAACTGCCATTTTGTATCACTGTGGAAAACATGGTTAGTGAGAGAGAGGGAGGAAAATTAAAGGAAGAGGAAGTTTCAACTTGAGAGCTTTCATGAGGGCATTAAGGTAATGCATAGAAGAGACTGCAAGAGGAGTAAATAAGGAGCATGTTGGTGAGACAGGTGGCCATAGCTCAGGTGTAAAAATTCGATATTAACAAAGAAGGGCTTTCACGTGATATGCTTATCTGCTTACAAGTTACAGTATTTTGCACTCTAAATATAAAGGTCCGGAATGACTGAAAGTCAAGAATGATCAAAGCATGAAATCTTGGCTTTCAGAAATAGATGCCTTTGAAATCACGTACTGGTCTCAGCTGTATTAAAAAACTGTTGGCTTTTTAAAGCCTGTATTGTAAAAGCTGAAATATGAAAGACAAGATTAAAAACACTTCATATTTTTATACATACATGGAGAGAGGCAGGTTTTCCTAAATCCACATACAAAAATCAGAGAACTCTTTCCTTGGATCAGAATACAGCTATTCCCTGTTTATATAGTAGTAGTTTTGAAGGTATTGCTGGTGTTGCTTTTTTTTTTTTTTTTAATGGTCTTCCACCTCTGTCTTGAGGTGCCAGGGAAACCTTTCTCTCTAGCTTTTTGTCTTGGAACTCACTGGGGCATTTGCAAGGTCAGGTAAACATTGAGGTAGTGGGTTTTTTTGTAAGAAATGTTTTCTTCCCTAGCATCATGAGATCTTGAAGGGTGAAAGGGAAGGAGAAAAAGTGGTGTTGCTGAATAATACATACCTCAGTTGCTACTTCCGGAACTTGAGCACATTTTCCCTTCTGAAGCATCTGCATTGAAACTCTGATGTTTAACCAGCTAGTATTAACAGCTAGGTACAGCAAGTGCTCTGTAGTACCAGTTGGTCTAGCACTTCAATCCTCAAGTACGTTTTCTATGCAGAATCTGTGTATGCATCAACATCTGAAAAGGCAACTTTAATTTCATAGTTTCTGATTAAAATCTTGCTTCCAATGTTCTAATGTTTATAGTACCATGTCACTAAAGTTAGGTAAAAAGCCTGTATGTTGCACCTAATCAAAATGTTTAAAATGTTTCATAGTTGATATTTTTCATTAATAACTCATTTTCTTAAATGAAGCGAAGGTGTGGGGGTTTCTTTCCAAAATGTGGTGAAATACAGTGCTCTCAGTGCTGCGTGTAGCTTCTTCTGTCCCAATTATCTGCAGCTTTCCAGTGATTTCTTTATCATTTGCATGTTTCTGTAAAAGTCTGTGACCTTTTATTAATTGGACAATTAAATTTTCCTGTGTGAGTATATATATAGTACTGACCACATTGACTTGTATAGCGATACAGCTGTAATTCTTCAGAATATATACTTGCCATGTATAATTGCAGGAGAAAGGGGAGGATTTGGCAAATAGCTTTTTTAAAGAACCATATAACTTACTAAGCTGAGGAGAGATATATTCAGCCTTGAGCTCATCTTTAATTGTGGTTTTGTCATCAGTTTAATTAACTAAGGGATATTTTTCCTATGGATTTAAATAGACTAAATATCAGATAACTTTAGTCATCTGAAATCTTGCTTTGAAAAATGGTTTAAATTTTTAAAGGGTTTATATCCTATTGGTGCAGTTTTGGTACTATTTAGTGCCTGGATCATTTGTATTTCATGCCTCTTCCCTCTGTCAGTGGCAACCATACCTCAGTACTATACATCAGACTCAATCACCTGTGTGAGATCCAGTTCTGTTTTACTTGCAGCCTAGCTTTGCATCTAAATTGCTCTCTTTTTCAGTGGCGGTTGAGGTTGTTCAGTACTGAACAAGATTGCGTCCACTGTAACACTAGAATGTAAAGCTGAAAACTGCGTAAACAGCATTTACCTTTCGCTTACATAGGACCCACAAATTAAATTGTGTGTTAAATACATTTGCATTTGTCAACATGCGAATCCTGCATTTAAAAAAATCTGATGTGTCCTCTCTGCCACAGAAATCTTGTGTTTCAGTGCCTGACTAATCTCTGCCTTGCTGATGCTTTTGAATGAGCTTTGTATGTGAAAGCTCTACTAATCCTTGTACTTACTGTTTGACTGTTTGCTACAGGAAGCGAGCAGCTGCAAAGCATCTAATAGAGCGCTACTACCACCAGTTAACTGAGGGCTGTGGAAATGAAGCCTGCACGAATGAATTTTGTGCTTCCTGTCCAACTTTTCTACGTATGGATAACAATGCAGCAGCCATTAAGGCCCTCGAGCTTTATAAGATTAATGCAAAACTCTGTGATCCTCATCCCTCCAAGAAAGGAACGAGCTCAGCTTACCTAGAAAACAATTCCAAAGGTGCCCATAACAATTCCTGCACTGACAGAAAAATGAACAAGAAGGAAATGCAAGGCCCAAGAGATGACTTTAAAGGTAAGATGTTATTTTATAATTTTCCTAAAATAAAACACATTTAATATGCATGAGTATAAGCCTACAGTGTGGTGGTGTTCTGCTGACTTCTAAGTAAAATACAATATTGGGCAATCAAATATTTTACTATGCATTCTGAAAAATGGCTGGAATAATTCTGAACATGAATTCCAAATCTGGATCTTTAACACATCTCTGTTAAAAATCGATGTGTATTTGTTGCTTTCCGAGATTACTGGTTTTGCAAATACGGGGAGTTTTTTTAGGTGCTGTTGACTGCTCTAGTTTTGTAACTCTTCTGTAGTTAATGAGTTATAAAGGTTATACTTTAACTAATTCCATATTCTATGTTAAGGAACTTAACAGATCAACAAAAAATGACAGATAGGCAATACATCTACCAAGCTACAGAAAGTTTAAGCCAAGTGATTTCTAAGCCAGTGTACAAAAATGAAATACTGTTCTATATGTCTTTTTAAACTTCTGTTTAGCTTTTCAAAATCTCTGAAACAGTAAGTACATACTACAAGAATAATTTTAGTTGCTGTCAAAACCTGCGGTGCAATTAGAAATCACAAGCTAAATTAAATTAAAGCCATTAACTTTTGAGCAGACCTTTTTTAATTATCATTGCAATAAGTGGTATAAGCACAGTTCAGATTCATTCATTTTAGCTAAAGAAGCTGAAACAGTTTACAACAAAGAATTAAAAAGCCCTACAGAATCATCAATAAAACATAGTACTGTGTTATAAGGGGCCTAAGATGCTCCAGTCAATACCTGCATCAGTTTGATCTTTATCTGATGAAAGGATAAATTTGTCCCCAAATTATTGATGATCTGAGTAAGCAAAGAGGCAAACAGCAGGGAGGGGAAAGGGGAGCCAGTGGGGTATTGAGACAGGCAGGAAGCACATCAGGTCTGATTGGGATTTGTCTCTTAGTTTTGTGTATTTTTAATGGAGGGGTGCACATACAGGATTTTCCTCCTTCTTCCTGACTCTGCTGTCCTCTTTCCCCAAGATAGATATGAGAGTCTTCTCAACCTATCTCCAGAGACAGCCTGTTGTCTAAAGCAATGACTCTTCTGTCTTCTGATTTAATCTGTTGCAACATCACAAGTATTGACCTGGCTTTGTAGCCAGCTCTCTGTATGGACAGAGAGCATTAATGCATTCTTAAAGCCCATCTGAGACTCTTAGTTACCTTTGGAATTGGATGATGTCTAAGGAATCTAGCGCTCAGAAATTTTTTGAGGTCCATCTACAGCAACAGTTACTGGGAAAACTGCAGCTAAGTTTAAGAAGGCCAAGGACAAGGATGTGTGTCTTGCTTTTATGCTTGACAGAGGATTGAAAGTTATAAATAAATTGAAAGAAAGGCCCTTCAGAAAGAATTATTTAAGTTGCTTTTCTGTAGTGCTAAGCCCTAAGACTATTACCTTTGGGGGAAAATGTATCTGGAGGCCATTGTCAGCATCTCACTAATACCTTAGACGGCAGTCCAAAAGAGGCAGGAAATAGAGAAATTGCAAATATGTAAAAAGCGTCGGTTACAAATGTAGTCACAGAGAGGGAGAGAAATTTAAAAATCGGTGTTATAATTACCTGGGAAGCTATTGTCAACTTTGAGTTATGAAAACGTTCAGTTGGGAACAGAGAAGGTCAGTGGACAGGCAGTGAATGCACAGTCATGACAAAGCTTCCTTAAGAGATAATGAAAAGGTAATTAATAAATTTGCTAATTAGTGAGTGTGTTGTTGGCCACATATATATCACGTGAAGTCTTTTTTACAGTCAAGAATCACTGCTAAATCTTGACTTCATGTACAGGTTTGTCTCTTTTTTGTATTACTGTTGTTATCCGTTTTCACAGAATCACAGAATGTTAGAGATTGGAAGGGACCTCGAAAGATCATCTAGTCCAATCCCCCCTGCCGGAGCAGGAACACCTAGATCAGATCACACAGGAACGCATCCAGGCGGGCTTTGAATGTCTCCAGAGAAGGAGACTCCACAACCTCTCTGGGCAGCCTGTTCCAGTGCTCTGTCACCCTCACTGTGAAGAAGTTTTTTCTCATGTTCAAGTGGAACCTCCTATGTTCCAGCTTGAACCCACTGCCCCTTGTCCTGTCACTAGATGTCACAGAGAAGAGCCTGGCTCCATCCTCCTGACACTCACCCTTTACGTATTTATAAACATTGATTAGGTCACCCCTCAGTCTCCTCTTTTCCAGGCTAAAGAGACCCAGCTCCCTCAGCCTTTCCTCATTAAGGGGGGAGATGCTCCATTCCCTTAATCATCTTTGTGGCTCTGCGCTGGACTCTCTCCAGCAGTTCTCTGTCCCTCTTGAGCTGAGGGGCCCAGAACTGTATTACTGAGAACAAGATCTGAGAGTAGGTACATTTACTCTGCTGAATCACTTTGTTGCAATAGAAGGGGTGAGAGAAGAAGGTATATAAAAGGTCACATATTCAAACAGGTGTTGGCTAAAATTGACTTGAGTAGAAGAAAGCTTCACTTACATCTTTTTCTCCAGCTGTTCTCACTGCTGTAAAGTAAAAATGGGGCAGACCCTTGTGGCAGCTTAGTTAGAGGACGGTCACAGGATATGACTTAAAGCTGTTATGAAACTGCTCATGGTAATACTTAATATTTTAACTGGAATTAGCACATGGTTTGTTCCTTAAATAATAAAACCTATAAAAGAATGACTGGGGAATTCCTGTTGTAAGTATGGAAACCTGAAATGTGTTTTAAGTTGTCAACTTTGCTGATAATTTTTATGCTATGAATAACCTGTGCAATCCAGAGTCAGTGAATTTGAGGCTATGGTCCTCAGCTTGAGGAACTATGGCATGGAACAAAATCTGTATCAGCAGTTAAATGTCTTTGAGGCAAGTTTGCTTCTTGAGCATGCGCTGCAACGATAAAAATAGGAGATGTTGCACTAACCTTGAATCCTTTTGTAATATTTTCAGTGCTGCTGTTTTTAACACTACATTTTAGTTTTAAAGCTTTTTCACTGTCTTCGGGTTGGTTGGAAGTTGATCTCAGTAGTGTGACATTAAGCTAAATCTTTTCTGTAGTATATGTGCTCTAAGAATGGCTTGGGGCTCTGCAAAAATCAATAGGTTGTCTGTCTTTGCATCATTTAGTTTGTATTTTTATTTTAATGACTGCTTGGAAAAAATGTTAGTATAGGCAATCAAAATACTTTAAACCTATGACTGTTTATAAAAATGTTATACTTTCTTTCTGCAGAGGTAGTTGTTCTAGCGTGGTTAGTGAATACAGTGTTGTGTGCTGTAGAGATACTATTTAACAGATTCAGTTTTAGTTCTAAATTATATGTCAGTTTAGAAGAATCTGCTTAAACTAGAACATCTTGTCAGGGTCTGATCATGTAATCCTACTCTGTAATCATCACCCAATGTGAAAGGACCTGTGGGTGCTGTTGAAGTAGCGTGAAAAGCTAGAAATGTTTTCTCCTCTTTTCTAAAGAGAAAGGAAGATTCCAAGTAACAAATGGACTACCAAATGATTTATTTCATATCAGGGGCTTTCGGGGAGGGGGAGCAGACCAGGTGTTTGGAGCCCAGGCAGATGATGTGTGTAAACCAGCTTGTTCATCTGAATAACATGTTGATGAGTATACTCAAGTTGTTTATCTTAGTGAGGCCTAAGGTACCAAGAAATAACTCAGGTGCCCAATTGTATGTATAATTTAGAAGGCAGCATAAATTTCTGAGCATGTATTACGGTTTTTTGGGATGTTTTTCAGGCATCAGTTTAGTATGAAAACAGTTGCAGAAAGCATTAAAAATAGAAATAAGAAATCTTACATTCCTGTTAATATAACAGCTAAACAAATTATTGAATCTTTTCTTCAGGATCTGTTTTTAAGGGAGAGTGTGTGAAGTCCGTATGCATGTGCTATGTTTGAAAAAAAAGTTGATACAGTTTAGTTTGTGTATCATTTAACAACTCACACATCAACTGTGCAGGTTTACCAGAAGACTATATTGTCACATGGAACATCTGATTGATTTAGTTGCTCATGTTTAGATGATACAATACTGTTAACTACCAAATGTAGTCAGTTGGCGGGAAATCAATTTTACCATCAAGCGTGTTCTCTGATCAGCATCCGTTAATAAAATATTTTACAAAATCATAGTGAATTAAATCATGATTCTTCAAGCTAGTGAAATTATAAAGTCTGTCTTAAATTTATGCATCACTGGCACCATTTTTTCCAAAGTGTTAATGGTGATATGATACACAAATTTCTGGAGTAGAGCAAATTAGTATTTAATCTTTTACATTTTTGTCTTAAAATTAATATTTTATCTTTTTATAGATGTGACTTTTCTAACAGAAGACAAGATATATGAAATTCTTGAACTATGTCGAGAGAAAGAGGATTATTCCCCTTTAATCCGGGTGATTGGGAGAGTATTTTCCAGTGCTGAAGCATTGGTACAGAGTTTCCGAAAAGCCAAGCAGCACACCAAGGAGGAGCTTAAGTCTCTTCAAGGAAAGGATGAAGACAAAGATGAAGATGAAAAGGAAAAAGCTGCATGTTCGGCTGCTGCTATGGAAGAAGATTCAGGTGCATCGTCATCTTCATCATCAAGAATAGGTGATAATACACAGGGAGATAATAACCTCCAAAAACTAGGCCCAGATGAAGTGTCTGTAGATATTGAAGCAGTCAGACGGGTCTATGATAGATTACTTTCTAATGAAAAAATAGAAACTGCCTTTTTAAATGCACTTGTGTACTTATCACCTAATGTGGAATGTGACTTGACTTATCATAATGTGTACTCTAGGGATCCTAACTATCTGAATTTGTTTATTATTGTTATGGAGAATGGCAACCTTCATAGCCCAGAATATCTGGAAATGGCTCTACCATTGTTTTGCAAAGCAATGAGCAAACTACCCCTTGCAGCTCAAGCAAAACTGGTCAGATTGTGGTCTAAGTATAGAGCAGACCAAATTCGGAGAATGATGGAAACATTTCAGCAGCTTATTACTTACAAAGTCATAAGCAATGAGTTCAATAGTCGTAACCTAGTGAATGATGATGATGCTGTTGTTGCTGCTTCAAAGTGCTTGAAAATGGTTTACTATGCAAATGTAGTAGGAGGGGATGTGGATACAGATCATAACGAAGAGGAAGATGAAGAACCCATACCAGAATCAAGTGAACTAACACTTCAAGAGCTGTTGGGTGAGGAAAGGAGAAACAAAAAAGGCCCTCGAGTGGACCCACTGGAAACTGAACTTGGTGTTAAAACTATAGATTGCAGAAAACCACTTATCCCTTTTGAAGAATTTATTAATGAACCACTGAATGATGTTCTAGAAATGGACAAAGACTACACTTTCTTCAAAGTAGAAACAGAAAATAAATTCTCTTTTATGACCTGTCCCTTCATATTGAATGCTGTTACCAAGAACCTGGGATTGTATTATGACAATAGAATCCGGATGTACAGTGAAAGGCGCATAACTGTGCTCTACAGCTTAGTTCAAGGACAGCAGCTCAACCCATATTTGCGACTTAAAGTGAGACGTGATCACATCATTGATGATGCGCTCGTCCGGGTAAGTCATGCAGCCACATGGAACTTAAGTTTGTTGGTTCTGACGCAGGCTTTGACTATCTGAAAAGGACTGTGTGTGAGTGCAGTGTTTTATATACTAGATTTCCTCTAGAAGAAACTCAAATAGCGTTAGCATACTAAGTTTGAATTCTAAGTGTGCTGCTGAAGATCCGCATGTTCAGTGGAACCACTTC